GGTATAAATCTCCACCTCTTGAGCACATGAAAACCAACTTTCGGCAAGTTATGGCTGAGTTATCGCCGAATATGTGCCAAAAAGTGATCGAAATCTGCCTCAGACTGGTCGAAGTTGGCAAAAAACTCACGAGGCTATAGTTTAAAATAAGACATATAATGCCATAAACTATACAATCAAAAGCAATTCACTGAAAAAATATTATTTTAAATGAACTTTAGATAAGGTTTTTTACTAAACCGCAAAATGGATAACCCTGTATGTCAAGCACTGTAGATATATTTTTGCTTACATATTCATAAGAATGTAGAGCATACAAGTCATATAAGAACGTTACCTTTTTCTTTACCTTACATATGCTGGCAATAAAAATGCCAACGGCAAATAAAAGCATAACAAAAGCCACACAAATTTCGAGCAAAATAATAATAGATACATATACATACATATATACATTGTAGTATATAGAAACACTTAGCATATAGAAACTCTGTTAAACTGTTGTAAACACTAATCATCGTTCATTTTGTATCATTTTAAGAATACATCAACTACATACTAGTTAAATACCAGTTCGTTTGTGAGTGTTGCTTTGCTTTATTACATAATATTTGCATATAATTGGCGTTTTTTAACCGCCTCCGCATGGCTGATGATTTTTAGGAAAATTAAATAAATTTTTTATTTTAATTTCCTCTTACTGGCAATACCAATTCCTACCCAGATAGGTTTCCCCTCTTCGCAACGAGACCTGTGCTGGGCCTGTACCTTGATAACACGTTTCGGGAACAATATTAATCTATTCTCGCGCCAGGTGCGTCATCCGATGTGTAGCTTGGAAGGGAAAACATGAACCTATGGTCACGACCACTACGTCTGTGCATGATGAACATAACCATGAATGTACGAATTATCTGAAAAAAAGGAAAATGTGATAACTCAAGAGTTTTTGATAACTATCAAGGCATAATGTTAATGTAATATCTGCCTCGAGCGGTGGCCTTCCTCTCTGTGAGATCACAAATAATTGCGGATAGCGATTCAAAACAACAGGGGAGACCTGCTGAGAAAAGGCGTATGTCCGCTGCACGACAATGGCAGACTTTCCATCAGGAAGCAAGGCAGCTGACATGATTTTTTTTCCTTTCTTCGCAACTAGTAGTTAACCATACCACTTTATCATCAGTTTACCACGCGGTATATTCTCTAATGCTCGTTTGTATTCTAGTACAATTTTCTAAAAATGGTTTTTATTACCACGAGTATATGTTTATGGCGAATTTGGGCTTTATTCTCATTTTAATCATAAAATGTTGGTTTTTTTTTGCAGCTTCAGTATTCTTATTTATTTTTTTTTTTATCAAAAAAATGTAATACACATAATCTAGACAAAAAAAGCGTATATTTATGTGAGTAATCATAATAGTGAATGCGCCAGAAAATTAGCGGCGAACAAAAAACAGCCATTTGGGAAAATATACACGTTGCAAACAGTGATTTTATTGCTATTACTCACACATACAGACATGCAGACGTGTACATGCAACAAAGCGATGAAGAAACGCAAACGTTGTAGTCCAACATTAATGAATATTCCTTTTGATATTTTAGTGCACAGAGATGATTGGGGCAGAAGCGGACATACATACTTATGAGGGGATTCACAAATTGTTCAATCAGTTGGTAACCTTCAATTTATTTTTGTTAAATCTAAAAATATCAAATCCCTTGCAATTACTTTGTTAGTCCTCCTTTAAAATTTCAAAAATGATCGGCTAATTTGGAGACGAGAAAACACAACACAGCTGAGGTTAGGTCAGACGAAATTCCACTGCCAACAAAAACATAAATTCGCCGAGTGATTCTCTTCAGGCTTTGGCGCAATTTACAGTCAAAACAAATATTAATTGAACGCCGAATTGCACATGGAACGCTTGCACCGTCCTTAAAGACTATTTCTGAGTGGTTCCGAAGATTCCAGACCGGAAACTTTTCTGTAGAGGATGAGCCCTGTGAAGGTCGACCAAAGCCTTCTACTCATGACACCACAGTAGCACTGATGAAGTCCAAAATTGACGAAGACCCACAGCTGACACAACAAATTATTGCTAATAAATTGGGTTTGAATGCCATGGCTGTATTGTGAATATTAAGTAATTATCTGGTATAAACGAAGAAATCTGATGAGTACCTCGAGTTTTAAATGAGTTCGAAAAAGAGGCTCGAGTGCATTTTGCTCAATTTTTCTTAAGAAAATTCGAAAATAGTCAGTCTAGCAACTTTAGTTAAGTCATAACGTATGAAGAATATTGGTTCTATAAGTACGATCCAGAAACAAGACAGCAGTCCATGGTATGGAGCCCAACAGGGGCACACCCACCCGTAAAATCTGAGCAACAAAAATCAGCAGCAAAAGTAATGATCCCAATCTAAAATGGTACACCAAAGAGTGCTTACCAAAAGTTTCTAAAAATTTGTTGGAAAACAGGAAGGCGGATTTGCGGCGCTACTTTTTACATCTTGACTATGCCACGCTGCTGAAATAACGAGTAATACAAGTATTATGGCGACATCTGGGATCTTAGAAATGAGTTCAGCACCTTGCGATTCTGGTTATGGTTAAAAATAAAAAAAAAATGTGAAAGGAATGGTCTTTAATAGCGACGAGGTTATAATTAAATCGATTAATGCTGAACTTGATAAGTTTAAAAAGCAAGACTTAGAAGACTGTTTTCAGAAGTGTATCTATAGGCTTAAGAGATGGATTAAAATCAGTTGCGATGTAGAGAAGATAAAAAACGACAAATATTACGTATAAATACAAAAAAAAATCTGGTCACATTACCGAACTTAATTTAATCCTCGCATACACCTTTACTGGCTACTCATTTGAATGATAGCTCCTCTAATTCTATAGCTTGGGAAATTGATCCCTTTTGAGCTCCTCTAATGATGATACCATGAACATAATATTTGGGAAGTCTTACAACTAATTTCCGATGTTTTTTTGTTCTTTTCTAGTTTTTTACTATATTTTGTTGTATTATATACGCAAAAGATGGAAACCGTAATTAAATTTTCCTAAAAATAGCAGTTTTTTTTTCTTGAAGAATTCGTCATAAATATATATTTTAAGAGTGCGCTATTTAGACCAACGGTATTTATACATTGAGGACGATTTTGACAAATACGCAAGATTTATTTTGGATATACAATACTTTGCCATTTATTTCGGAGCAGTTTTAGAAAACAACTTCGGTTAAATGACAACCTTCATTCGATCCACAAAAAGCAGCTCTTTTTCGCGCATTCTGCAAAACATTGGCCAGCATATCAGACGTTATTGGAGCTATTTCGGCTCGTATGCCAACTTTTAGTTCGTCGATCAACAACAATGATTGTTGGCATTAACTTTACCTTTTGAATAGCCCCAAAGATTAAAGCCAGGTACAGTTAAATCTGGCGGACCAGGCGGCCACTCCAAATCACCATTTTTCGAGAAAACGTGTGCCGTGCATCGTAGCGGCTGCGGTGTGACAAAAAAAGTTCGTCAGACCTTTTACAGGCATTTTCGGATACACAAATTCTCGTTAGAGTCGTTCCACATACGTTTAACTCCTAAAATCAGCGGCGATACGACATATCTGGATTATCGGCAGCACTGTCTTTGACCTCTTCAATGAATTAACCTAAGCTTTTCGGACTCTGGCGGGTTGCTACAGAGCCATACTCGAATAAATTTCTCACCAAACTACGAATTGAGTTGTCTAAGGGCACGGAATGCCCCCCTAATTTTTTACGATAAGCACGCTGACGATTGTTTTCAATGTAAAGCGCTACGATTTCAGCGCGATCTTTCGTTGTGTATTGGCTCATGGTTAAAATGGCAGAGAATGACGTTTCAAAATCATGCAAAATCAGCTAAAATCCGACTTAATTAAAATATTCTTCATGAAATTCCTATTTTATTATGACATTAAATCAGAAAAACTATGTCACTCAGAAGACCGCCTTGCTAATTTTTGCAAATTTCGGCCCGTTCGGAAAAATTTTAGACAACTTTTTTGGGCGGTATCTCAGGTTGAATGTTGGTATCCAAGTGTTCAAGAGTTGAAGATTTATCTAGCGATGTCAAATCGTACGATCTAGAAGGCCAATTGACCTCTCCAAAACGATAGACTACGCACAATAGAGCAATATTCTCTCGTGTTGTGGAGCATGTGGCACCATTTTGTTAAAACCACACATATTGTCCAAGTTGCGTTTTTCAATCGCTGACCAAAAAAGTCAGTTACCATAAGACCAAAGGTCCAAAATTGATAGTGACAGTCTCGCTGTTGTCGTTTTTGAAGAAGTAAGTCCAATCACACCTCCGGACCAAACAGCGCAACAGAAAGTAAGTTTTATTTTCATGTAATAGCTTCTTTTCAATTATTTGAGGATTCTCGGAGTCTCGAATGCAATAATTTTGCTTACTTTCCCGTCCCCAGAGTGGGAAACGTGACTCGTCGCTGATAAAAATTGTGTCCGAAAAAATCAACTGCTCGTTGCTCAAGCACCCAATCGACGCATGTACCACTTTGTTAGTGGTCAGTCGGCTTTAGTTGTTGTGTGAGCTAGTACTTATATGGATTTGGGTGTAAGTCCAAGTGCAAAATACGCCGGAATATGCCGTAAGACCGCGTCTATTGAATATCTATTGAATACGCACAAAACTGTGAGAAAACTGAAAGTCAGTTTAATTTCATTAGTTTGCGTTCTAAACATCAATTAAATGCTAATGTGAAACGTTGCCTACATGTAGGCGCATTTTGAAGTGTTTCGCACGTTTTTTAGCAAAGTCACACACTTTATTATATATATATAATCGATATCCTGAATTTTTCAATAGCTAAAATTTCTCTTTTCGTATTTTACAAATTTTAACTTGCTCTGTGTCTTATATTAATAAAAGCGATATATATATATATATATACATATATTTTTTATAAAAACACAAATTAAATTTTCAATTCATACAATCATTTCTATTTGAAACTCAATCATTTTCAGATACACATATTTTTCATAACAAAATTAGCTAACAACAATAATAATCAACAATAGTCAAACGGGAACGGAACCATCATATACTCGTATAGATATCACCTTTTAGAAACGACGTCTGTAGACAACACGACGAACGGTCTTGTAGCGATAACCAGACGGAGATGATGGAGGCAAATAGGTGTTCTGTGGAGCAATTGGTTCAGAGAGAACGGCTTCCTGTACTGGTGCAGGTGGAATGTAGGTGTTTTGTGGAGCTGCCGGTGGTGGGATATAGGTGTTTTGTGGTGGTGCAATTGGTTCAGAGAGAACAGCTTCCTGGACTGGTGCAGGTGGGAGGTAAGTGTTTTGTGGTGGTGGTGGTGGAGGTATGTAGGTGTTCTGTGGAGCAATTGGTTCCGATTTCACTGCCTCATGCACTGGTGCAGGATAATTGTAGCCACCGCCGAGATGCGAGACATCAGCAGCAGCGAAAGCCAACAAGGCGAAGGAGACAGCAGCGAAGAATTTCTGCGCAAAAAAGAAGAGAGGAGAAAATGAATAAAATTTCTAATGAACATAGCAAAAATTAACTCTTAGGATGCTGTGCACGCTTAAAAAAAAACACTTTTTGATATTTTCTCGAATTAAAATCATTTTTTTTTTTCCTTTTTTGCTTCGAGTTGAATTTTTGTTTACTTTTAATATCCGTTTTTTTTTCGTTTTTTAGTAATTTGCTTACGCACCATTTTTGTTATTGATTTGTTGAGCTGTTTACACCACAACGGTTAAAGTTTGACAATATCTATCTTGGCTATTGAACGCTTATTTATACTCGTGAAGATTTTCACGTTTTGTGTCACTTAAAGGTCACTGCATGCACTTCATCTTCGCTTCTTTGCTACGCATGCCTCTGTTTAAGTGCGTAACTAAGCCAAAGGTAAACATGGTACGGAAGTTGACAATCAAGAATTAGGCAAAAGAGCCCACAAAAGACAACAAGCTCTTGTAATATTTCCATTGTTAATGCCGAAATGAATTTGCATAAAATGCGATTATTTACATTGGCAATTAACTATTTTATAATCTCTTGTAATAGCTTTGGATATAGTGGAGTAGACTTCAAATTGTTCTCAGAACATTTTGAAAGGATATTTTTTTTATAAGTAAATATTATATTTTTTGGCTAGCCAATATTCATCTCAAAGTGCTTATGATATCTGAAAAATTTAATAAAAAATATCAAAGGGTTTCGATAGTGTAAAATCTTGGAAAGGTTTGAAATTGATGATCGAACCCTCTTCGGACGAGAATCTATTTATTTTATCAAGTACTCCAGAATATTACAATCATCATAATGAGGATAATTCGTTATTAAAGAACAGGTTACATAGTAATGTCTAAAATGTAAAATATAAGACCAGCTCAGCGGTTTTTTAACCAAACAATTAAGTACATATTAAGCTTGTGGAAACACACCTAAGCGAAGTCCTAAATCACATATAGTTCATCAGCAACTCATGGAAACACTACGTGAGTGCAGCTTTTTTGTGCCAACAAGGTCATTGAACTCATACCTTTCCCAAACAACCAAAAGTCGAAAGGGTCATCTCTGTCAATTCCAGGTGGGGCAATTAATTCTCACTAGCATTCTCTTCATTAAGATTCATCTCTGTTTTCAAAAAAAATATATATTGTTTTACTTAAAAGTCGTACTAAGTCTTTAGAAATATATCGTGCTCTCACAACAATCAAATTTTATCTTGCGATACTTTCAAATTCAGTTCAAAATAAATAAAAGTCATATTGACGTCATTAATACAAACATGCAAATATGTATAGTTATAAATAGAAGCAAATTAAATTAAGTTAAAACACCATCTTCGAATGGACTGAAAAATATATGTATATCGTTAACAGCTAGAGGCAACTATACATATATAAAACAACAAAGTGAATATGTAATAATTAAGACCAAATAAAACTGAATTATAAATTCATTTGAGAATCTAAGAATAAGCCTAAACAATCACTTGTAATAATTTAATTACAGCAAAACGAAATGCCGTAAAAAAATTTTAAATATCATGCGAGAAAAATTACTGAAGGTAAACCAGAGACAAGAAATGGTTTTATAAATAAATAAATAATAAATTAATGTCATCTTTAAAACGCATTTATTATTTGACCAGCTAAATTGCTTAGTGCTGGTTGAAGTGGTACAAAGGTCTTCAAAAACGTATCAAAATTAAAAAAAAAAAATATGAGTTGATATTAATCACATTATTAATTTCACTTGTTGCAATCATGAAATGAGATTCATAACATATGAACCAAAAAAAAAAATAAAATAAGTAAAAAAAATACAAAAAAATTACAAAAAGTAAATCAAAATAAATTTAAAAAATATCTTAAAATAAAATCAAATAAAACTACACTAATATATACTAAGTAAAATAAAAATTTATAAAAAAAATAAAAATAAAAAATAAAATAAGAAACAAAAAGAAAAGAAAATACAAATTAATAACTAAAATAAAATTATTAAAATAAAATAAATAATATAAAATAAAACAAAATAAAATAATATAAAATAAAAAAATAAAATAAATTGACGAAAAGCAAAATAAAACAAATTAAAATTAAATACAAATTAATAAATAAAATAAAATTATTAAAGTAAAATAAATAATATTAAATAAAATAAAATGAAATAATATAAAATAAAAAAATAAAATAAAATAAAAAAAAACAAAATAAAACAAATAAAAATAAAATACAAATTAATAAATAAAATAAAATAATTAAAATAAAATAAATAAAAATAAAATAAAGTAAACTTAAAAAAATATCCTTAAATGAACGATAATAAAATAATATAAAATGAAAAAAAAAAAAATAAAAAAAATAAGAAAGAATAAAAAAAAAATAAAATTAAATAAAAATTTAACAAAAAAAATAAATGAAAAAGTAAAATAGATTAATATGAAAAAAAAATTAAAATAAAATAAAGTAAATTTAAAAAAATATCCTTAGATAAAATTAAATAAAATTATACTTCTAAAATACTAAATAAAATAAAAATTAATGAACAAAATAGAATTAATAAAATAAAGTAAATAAAACAAAGTTATATTAAAAAAATTTAATTAAAATTAAATTAATTAAATAAAGTAAATAAAACGAAATAAAGTTAAACAACGTAATATAAAAAAATAAAAACAATATAAAATTGACTAACATAAGTAAAATTGAGTTAAATGACATAAAATCAAATTAAATTAAATAACTTAAATTAAAATTGAACCAACTAAAAAAAACTTAATGTAATTGTACTAAATAAAATAAAATGAATTAGAACAAATTACTATAATATTAAGCCAGAAAAATGAAAGAAATATGATATTATAAAATCACTTAACATAAGATAAAATAAATTAAAATAAAAACAAAGTAATATAAAATGAAAAAAATTAAATTAAAAAAAAAATAATAAAAGAAAAATAATGGTTTTAAATGTAGTATAAATAAGTTAATTTAAATTTAGTATAAAAAGTTAATAAATTAATAGAAAATTTACTAAATAAAATTAAATATAATAAAAAAATTTAAAACAAAATGAAAATATCAATAACAGATATATATATATATATATATATATATATATATATATATATATATTATATTGGCGCTTTATAAATAACTGCTGAAGCGATTTGCAGTCTAGCTCCTCCGCCAATTTCTGGTTTTACGTCTTGATGTTTTTCCAACAAATGGAGGGGCCTACAGTTTATATTAAGTCGCCTCCGAACGGCTGGTGGATTTTTATAAGAAACCATTATTTCATGTCAGAAATACATTCAAAATGTGACTAAATGCAATGCGCAATGCCACTTGGCTACCGCGGCTGACAATAACATACTCAAATAAAATTTTATTATATTAAATTTTAAGAGTATAAAATTAAATAAAAAAATATCATAATTAAAATCAAATAATATTGAATAAAAAAGTAAAATAAAGTCATAAAAGTATAAAAAATTGCATGAGATTAAGTAAAAAATTAAAATATAATAAAATGTATTTAATTGAAAAAAAAATTAAATTAAATTAAATTAAATAAACAAAACTGAAAAATATTATATAAGATAACAAATGAAATAAAATTAACTTATTTTAAAATAAATTAAGTTAGTGAAATATTAAAATATTTTTACACCCGGTCACCCTAAAATGCATACAAGTTCAATGAAACTGACATAAAAAGTTATAAGCAAGAAACGCGTTAAAAAATTAAAATTAAAACGAAAAAAACAAAAAATTCAAAGCAAAAGCGCAACAGCTGCCCAAAAAGAAGAAACCAATAAGCAAACAACAAAAAAAAATTTATATCGAGCCCTCTAAACATGACCCAAAGCAATTACCTACCACAACAAGTAAAGTCAAACAGTCACGGCAATAACAAAGTCAAATAAATAAAACAAAAACAACAGCAAATATTTTACAGCACTCTTGGGAAACAGTAAAAAAGTTAAAGGTGCAATCACACTCGATACAACAATAATTTGCTTGAAATAAAACAAAAAAGATGATCATTCAAATATTCAGTAAAACCAAAAAACAAAAAACAAAAAACAAAAAACCACAATTACAATAACAATAACAATAGTATACCTAAACAAAAAAAAAGAACGAATAAGAAACGAAAATAAAACACTAATGATCTAATCTGCATAAAAAGTTATTGGACAAAGCGCCATGAATTTCCAGCTGATGGCTAACACTAGCCGACACAAACAGCAACAACAACAACAACAGCATATCAATAGAACACCAAAAACCAAGCACACCTGCTCAGTGCTGCTGCTCAGTCTCCAACACCGTAACCAAACATCATTAGTTCAAGACGCCTCCGAGTTCACGCCATGCTCGTCGGTTCGTCCGCACTGCTGCCCTTGCGTGTCGGCCGACACAGTAGACAGATGTTGATTTTGGCGTCTTTCTTCAATGTTTATTATTATTATTATTTCGAATATCTTGTATTTATACACCTTCTCGCGTTAGTGTTTGTGGTTTCAGCGCTGCTAATGTTGGCATATTTGCGGTTAGAATCATCGAAGCGTCACTTTGGTCTGAGACTCATTCAAAATGGGAGAATGGGGACGTTGATTGGCTAGGCATTGGATAGTAGTACTATATGCTGTGGTATTCTCTAATGGTCTCACATAAAATGTAGTTAACAAAAATTTAAATGAAGATTAAAATTAGTTGCATTTAAATAGTACAGAAGCGACTTGATAAGCCGGAAAATCAATGCCAAGGAACTGACCAGATAATAGAGATCCTACCTAAAACGGCATTAGCAATCTATATGTGGGCAACGGGTTACAGCTTATGCAACTTATTCTGATATTTTAATATAAAATTTATAATGTAAATTTGATGGTCCCCTTGGCACTAAACAGAAAATTAGGAATAGTGGAGAATCGCCCGTGCGACCCATTTAAATAGTTCCGCATTGATCTGTAAATAATTACACTTAAGTTCCGTGCTGTTTCTGCAATAGATCGAACTACATTTGGGTTGATTTCTGAGTTGTTATCAACAGGCCTGGCACGTATTGGATGACTGCATAAGTTCGTGCCCGATTCCGCTGGATGCCGTTCGAATCGTTTGAGAGTGGCGCTCGTGAAAGAAATATATACATGTTATATATCGTTGGAAAGGTGACAGTCCGAACTGTAAATCAAGCATGAAATAACTTCATTTTAATTTGAGTTGCTTAGTGAAAAGACGCATGAAAGATGGACAACGAAAAAGACCATTTGCGTCATATTATGTTATACGAATTCCGCAAAGGAAAAACAGTAGGCGCTGCAACTAAAGATATTCGCGAAGTTTATTTGGACCGTGCTCCAGCACTCCGCACAGTAAAGAAATGGTTCGCGAAATTTCGTTCTGGAGATTTTAACCTCGAATATCAACCTCGCAGTGAACGGCCTTCTGACCTTGATGACGATGTTCTAAGGACTTTAGTTGCGAATAACTCACGTACTTCGACGGAAGAGGTTACCAGTGAATTGAATCTCAACAAATCAACTGCGTTTCGTCGTTTAAAAAAGGTTGGGTACACTTTGAAGCTCGATACTTGGGTGCCATATCAGTTGAGTGAAAAAAAACAAAGTGGACCGTTTGTCAACAGCAATTTCTTTGCTTCGACGGATCAAAAACGAACCTGGTGATGAAAAATGAATCCTGTACAACAATGTTCAACGCAAAAGAACATGGAAACAGGCACACGAAGGGGCGGAACCGATGTCGAAAGGTGGATTGCATCCGATGAAGGTACTGCTGTGCATTTAGTGGGATATCCGAGGCGTGATCTATTTTGAGCTCTTGCCAGCTGGAGAAACGATCACTGCCTACAAGTATTGTCTGCAATTGGTCGAATTGAAGAAAGCAATTGATGAAAAACGTCCAATTTTGGCCAACCGCGAAGGAGTTCTTTTCCAAAACCGACCCTGGCCAAACTGAAAGACATGAATTGGGTAATCATGCCGCATCCCCCATATTCACCCGACATTGCACCTTCTGATTATCATTTGTTTCGATCGTTGCAGAACATTTTGAATGGAAAAAAATTTAAAAACGTGGAAGACGTCAAAAACCACCTTGACACCTTTTTCAACGAGAAACCGCGCGATTTCTATGATTCAGACATCCGTAAATTGGTTGAACGTTGGGAGTGGATTGCCGAACATGATGGCGAATACATAATTGATTAATAAAAGCGCTTTCTTCAAAAAATTTCAATTTTAGTTTGCACTTGAAATCAGGCACGAACTTATGCACTCATTCACTCATATTATGAAACAGTCCGATGCTGTTCGCCTACCGGTTTTAATCCGAATGAGAGATAATTTTGAACTAGATCCCAAACGATTTGAAAAAGAATTACAACTTTGGTGTTAAATTTATTTATTTTCTTTTTTGAAAGACATCAAAAGCCACAAAGTAATCTTAAAAAACACAAGACTAATTAAGAGTGTTTAAGACTGCATTTGATTTTTCCATGGAGTAAAATTTTTCAAACCCTGCCCCTAATAGCAAGAGAAACCGCCTTCTCATTTCACAACGCCTGTAAGCGGATGTTTGTTTACTACCCAGTGGTCTAATACTAGAAACACTGATGAACGTAAGTGTACGTTCCGTGTCAACTCTCTCAATCAAACTTACTGGGATTGTCATGTAAATAAAGACTCACCACCGCGTACGTAAGACGTGGGCTGTGGTTCCTACTGTGAGTGATCTGAAAAATTAGATTTTTTGCACAGAAATCGCTTCTCTCTCCGGTCTGCTCTTTTCTTACTGCCTGTTCATGCAGACGTGTGTATAAACATCGTAGCAGACAGTCGAACACCGGAATTTGAGAGCTGCTTAAATAATAGGTGAAATAATAGTTTCTGGCCACTCCCTGGTGCCCCATCTTCCACCTAAGTAGGCAATTGAAAAGTAAAATCCTCTCTTAACAAACCAAATGATTCATCATTCCCATCATACTTTACAGTATGGACGACGTTCGATGAGGAGTCTCTGGGTGTTTTCGAGAGAAAAGTTTTGCTGACGATTTGTTTATATTCTCATTCGTATTGATAACAGCAAATATCGCAAAGAAAAAGAAGAAGAAATAAAACATTGAAATTCTTTAAAATACTAGAAATTAAAATAGATATAAGCTCTGCGTACTACTTGAAAGAATCGACTTGGCTGTGAGATATTTCTCTAAAATTACCCTGAAAAATTATTTAATATGACAAACAAAGCTCGGCTCGCCACAATAAGTACCCCATTAAATATAGATTAGTATTTAAATATATAATTGGAACGACTTTAGGCCGAACTCCTCCTTCAATTTGCTTTGCCCATTTTGATATCTTTCCAACTAATGGACAGTCCTACAGTTTATTCAAAAGGGCCTCCGAAGGGCGGATGGTTTTTTATGAGAAGCTTTTTAATTAATGGCAAAAATACACTCGTAGGTCTTGACATTCCCTGTCCACGGAATGACCGCAATTAGAGAGATTATTCTTCTATTATTTTGGATATTGGCTGGAAGAGAACTCGAACACTGTCCTCCAGAATGGTAGTACGCAATGTTAACCACTCTGCTATACGTATAAGTATTTCCTTATCAAGTTTTTCAAAACTGCAATAAAAATGCCTTAATAAAATAAAAACTCAGAGATCCGTGAAAATTCATCAATGAGCTTTTCTCTGAGTATAAGGAAAAAATGTTAGGAAAGAAAAATTACTTACGCAGGGAAGATCACAGGTATAGACCAAAATATGATTACAACGCCACTAAAAGTGGATCACTCCCTGATAACTAAATTTTCTAGTGCCTTATGCATTGTTTTCGTATCACTAATGAAGTAAACATGTTTCTATGCAAAAACCATTATTTAATGTAATATGTAAATATAAAAGTCGGAAGTAGTTATCAGGGCTTTGGAATATTTTTGTATAAATTAATGAATGATGTTGTCTTATAAAGGAGTGCAGCGAGTTCTGACAAATATGGAATGAATTACGATAACAATGATGTGGAAGATTTGTACAGATTCTTAAGGGCTTAAATATACTCAAATATTCTAAAAAAAAAAAACTCTTGAATAAATAAGCTTTCAGTGTAGCTAACGGTATGATATTGACACCGTAAATAACAAAAAACAAGTTTCCGTAAGCCAAACGATGTTGTGACACAGCAAAGAGATTTTACGGTGTAGAACTCACATTTTTCTTTGCTTATTAAGGCTTTTTATATACGTGTATGTACATATATGTATAGCTGTGTGTATGCATTATAGAAACACCCATAATGTGAGGTAGTAATTAAAACATTAAATATAAAAATATTTTCAACATTTAATGATTCTAATTTGGAGTCACCTTTATGGGTTAATTGCCGAAAAGGTTTTGAAGCTTCTGCTTTCCGCATTTTTTCGTCATATTTTTTTTTTGTTCATCACTCCAAAGTTAGAACGAAGTAGAAACGTCAGCTGAGGCAATGATTTTGCCAAAATTGGAAATTGCTACTTCCGCATTTTATGCAAATCACCTAAAACATCTTAATCTGGGTAATATTGAAAAAATGGCGCCAAAGTGATTTTGCGGAATGCAAATCTTTTTAGTATAAATAAACGCAGCCGATGCTAATTGGGCACAATCTAAGCTCGTTCTTAGCGGTGTAAAGACAATTTGAAATTTTTACGAAAATGGTGAGTCTGCTCACCATAGCATATTTACAAAAATTGCATTTAATAAAAATGCAATGAGTGAAGAAAGTGATGGGATTCAACAAGAAATTTAAATATTAAATATTATATTATATTGAACAAAATTATAATAAAAAAAAATAATTATGAAAAGCAGGCAACAGTGAAAGTTCCTTGGGGACTTAAGACATGATTTAAAATTAAAAAATAAAAGAATTAAAATATATTTTGTTATCTTTTGGCAATACAAAAAAAGTTAATAACAAAAAAAAAATTTTGCTGCTAAAAAAAATTAAAATTAAAAATTAAGAAAAAAATTAAAATTTTTTTAGCTTAAATAAGTCAATAAATAACTAATAAATAGCTTTAAACTCAAAAAATAATTAATTTAAAAAAAAATTAATTAGCTGTTAAAATCGATAGTATAAAATATAAATAGTGTTTTTGTTCAAAATAGTATTTCGAAATAATAACTCTTTTCACTGTCCAATGAATTTAGCAACACTTAAAAAACATTTAATTTGTTAAGCCGATTTTTTTGTGAAAATAATTAAAAAAGGATTTCCTTTTCATATGCCTTTCTTTAACTATTTGCCGTTCTCTTACTCGCAGAAACTCTTTGTTGCCGCCTCTTTCGCGCTTTTGGCTCTCGTCGCAGCTGATGTTTCTCACCTCGGTGCTGGTGGTTACAGTTATCCTGCTCCTGCTCCTATTCATGAAGCTGTACGCTCTCAACCGATTGTTCCTCAGAACACTTACATCCCACCTGCACCACCAGCTCCGGCTCCAGCTCAAGGCTATAGCTACCCAGCTCCAGCACCAATTCACGAAGCTGTTCAATCGCAACCAATTGCACCGCAGAACACCTACATCCCACCCGCACCACCAGCCAGCTCAAGGCTATAGCTACCCAGCTCCAGCACCAATTCACGAAGCTGTTCAATCGCAACCAATTGCACCGCAGAACACCTACATCCCACCCGCACCACCAGCCCCAGCACCAGCGCCAGCACAGGGCTACAGCTACCCAGCTCCGGCACCAATTCATGAAGCTGTTCAATCGCAACCAATTGCACCCCAAAACATCTACATCCCACCCGCACCACCAGCACCTGCACCAGCGCCAGCACAGGGCTACAGCTACCCAGCTCCAGCACCAATTCATGAAGCTGTTCAATCGCAACCAATTGCACCCCAAAACACCTACATCCCACCTTCAGCGTCGCTCGGTCAAGATGGCTACCGTTACAAGACCGTCCGTCGTGTTGTCTACAGACGTCGTTTCTAAACCTGAGATAGACCAAGTGGCTAAAATTGTTGACTAATTTTCTACGAAAATCTTATTAGAATTAAATAAACGTTGTTAAAATTTCCAAAGAATTTCATAAGCGTTTTTTCACTACGTTGTGGTTTTAAAAATTTATGTTCTCTCTCTGAAATATTGTTTTCCCGTACTTGTTTTGAGCTTCGAGCAGACTCAGCGGCAAACCACATTACGTCGTATCTAGACTTACGACAAGGCAAGTAATGCGCATAGTGCAGGATCCGTCTACCCATATAAATCTCATGAGCTTCTACTGCAATAAGTTATGAATAACAAATTCGAATCGTCGAGCAGGAAACCTAAAAAATATTCGATGTTTTTATTGACACCTGAACTTGAAAGAAACTGTCCAATAAAAAGAGCATAGGGGAAAAAGCCCGATAATATCTGAGATAAAAGCTCGAAGGTCAAAATATGCTAGATAAAAGTAAATAAACAAAGTTCGGAATCGTCGTTCTGTACGTAAGAATTATGAAGACTACTCTTAATTAGAGATTTTTATTTACCAGAATCCCCCAACTCGGACCCAGTTTTCTTTCAGCCCTAAACTTTGCAAGGAATATAAGACCATCAAGCAGAGGAGTCTGATTCGATTTTCGAAAAATTCGAGGAAAATTAATAGAGAAGAGATCTTGATATTTGGCTGTTCAACTCAACGAAGCTAAAGGAAATAGAACTGCGATATGCAATCATATAATGTTCTGTTTCTATGTTTCGTTGTCGGTAACGTTTCAAAACAAGTAAGGTTTGACTTCTCATAAGAACGCTCAAGATGTGTACAAATATACTCGTTTCAAAGTAATTCGGCGAAGGGTGACAATATTTCAAGAATCTTTTCAAGAAGGTAAGCTAACTTCGGGGTTGTCCATACAGAACGTGGTCATATTTTGGGGCTTCCGGGACTCTCGTCCTTCTGCAGGCTGGGGTTCGAGCTCTAGTTTGATCATCGAAAATTATAACAATCTAGTCTAAAATCACCATGTCTAGCCTGGTCTGGCTGATAAAACCATAACAAAGAGAACAAAGTTGGCAGAGATCCACCTTCGTCGTGGCACAATAAAAAATAAAAATAAAATGATATCATATGAATATTTAACAATTTATATTTAACTTCAGAACAACTTGAGGTACATTTCCCACAGGGAAAAGTTTTGGAACAAGGCAACATAACTTAGAAACGGTGTCTGTAAACGACACGACGGACGGTCTTGTAGTGGTAACCATCAGCCTCCAGGGTTGCAGATGGCTCGGGAGCTGGAGCGGCTGCTGGTGGGAGATAAGTGTTCTGTGGTGCTACTGGAGCTGGAGCTGGTGCTGGTGCTGGTGCTGGAGCAATTGGATCCGAGTGCACAGCCTCATGAATTGGAGCTGCCGGTGCTGGTGGGGCAGGTGGCGCAGGTGGAATATATGTATTTTTTGGTGCTGGTGGTGGTGGTGGTGGAGGAGGAGCAATTGGACGCGAGTGCACGGCCTCATGAACTGGAGCTGCGGGTGGTGCTGGTGGAGCAGGTGGTATGTAAGTATTCTTTGGAGCTGGTGGTGGTGGTGGTGGAGGAGGTGGGGCAATTGGACGCGAGTGCACGGCTTCATGAACTGGAGCTGCTGGTGCTGGTGGAGCAGGTGGTATGTATGTATTTTTTGGTGCTGGTGGTGGTGGTGGTGGAGGAGGTGCAACTGGACGTGAGTGCGCGGCCTCATGAACTGGAGCTGGTGGAGCAGGTGGAATGTAAGTATTCTTTGGTGCTGGTGGCGGTGGTGGTGGTGGAGGAGGAGCTATGGGATGCGAGCGCACGGCCTCGTGAACTGGAGCTGCGGGTGGTGCTGGAGGAGCAGGTGGTATGTAAGTATTCTTGGGAGCTGGTGGTGGTGGTGGTGGTGGAGGTGGTGCAATTGGATGTGAATGCACGGCCTCATGAACTGGAGCTGCGGGTGGTGCTGGAGGAGCAGGTGGAATGTAAGTATTCTTTGGTGCTGGTGGCGGTGGTGGTGGTGGAGGTGGTGCAATTGGATGTGAGTGCACAGACTCGTGTGCAGGTGGAGCTGGTGCTGCTGGAGGGAGATAAGTGTTTTGTGGCGCTATCGGCTCAGACCGAGCCTCCTCGTGGTGAGGCGCTGGGGCAGGATAATGATAGCCACTGTGCGCTAGATGGGAAACATCGGCGGTGGCGTAAGCCAATAAGGCAAAGGAAAGCGCAACGAAGAGTTTCTGCAAATCATAAAACACACAAAATTTTAGTTGTTTTAAAAGGTTTTTTTTTAACTTTTTTATTAATAAATTTTCACAAACTGAATTTTTCACTAAACCAATATATATTTATGTACACACCATCGTCTCAATTGCTTCTCGAACTGTTAACTACGCAACGGTTAAAGTATGACAATACTCCATTAGTCGCTGGACACTCTATTTATATTGAACGGAACTTGTTTTAAATGGATCGCATGAAGCGTTTAAGCGCTTAAGCGCTAAGCATTAAGCGGAAGCTGTATTTGCCATCAAACACCCAAAAACAAATCACCGATTATTTGCTAAGCTCATTGTTACTACTCAAATGAGATTGACATTTCTTGCTTGCTGCTGTTGTTGCTGCTGTTGTTGGTCTAGTGGGTTGAGATCGAGATGAGGCTTCATTAAGCATGAATAATTTAGGCATTTCAAAAATAAGCTAACTGCGCGCTTAAGTGGTTTCAGCGAAAAAAACGAACAAAAAAAATGTAAAAGAAACACATAAACACGCGACAAGCAAACACTACAATGAAGCACACGCTTGCTAAATTGTATTTGTTTGTATGTGTGAGTGCCTGTTTGGCCACTGTAAAGGCGTATTGACCCCACACATACAGCAGATTTTTTTTTAATTAAAAGCAGATTTCATAGAAGTCTAACAAAACGATTTTATGCAATATGCTTTGCCATAAATTATTAAATACTGTTATGTTACTGTTATATCACTTTTGTTTATAAAAAAAACTCTTAATTTAAATAAAAAATAAAATAAAATATTTCTAAGCGAAATTAGCAAAAAGAATCGAAGAGTATGCTATTGAAGCAAGAAGAAAACTCTTACACGTACACATACATATATATACAATACATATACGTGCGTGTAAGTATTGTATATTATAAACATATTTCTAAATAATGCCTATGTAAGCAAGTCAATCATAACCGTCAATTTGTATGTATTTAAATGTCAAGCGGATTGATATGGCACAGCTGCAAGCAGACGAGCAGAAAATATGTTAAACTTGTTAAAAGAATAATTGAAAAATATGCCTAAATATGTTTATAAATGAATGTGCATATGTGTATGTACTCCATACAACTACGTGCCAGCGGTGTAATTCAATTACTCTTATATACAAAAGTCAAATTTTTAAACCTCCGTAAAGATTTTTTTGTTTAGCAACATTTTGAACTTAGCAACATGTTGAGAAACTTTTGTTTGACCGCGGTGTAATTCTAATGTAATACTAAAAGTAAATTTTTAAATATTCATAAGCGTTCGATGCTTAGCAACATCTTGCTTGGTTTTGTTTCCAGCAACATGCATTTATTTATTTTTTTTTTTTATTCTTTTCTAGCCAAGTCCTACACTTTCTTTGCTATCTAATAGAGATCGATAACAGCTGACTTGCATGGCAGTGTCATATTTGCATTACTCGCCATTAACTTGTTAACTATGGCCTGGAAATTAGGTCAACTGTGCATAAATTATTTGAAAATCGCACAAGGAAATTCTCCAAAATTTTACATAGGAACTGGCAAATCGACAGATACGATTTTATTGATATGCATATATGAGTAATATATAAGCACACAAACACACATACACTAAAGGGTGGATCGAAAAACACTCAGAACTCACCACAATGAAGGTAGCTACACTTACGATTCCGTCCCTACCCGACCTAGCCAACCATTGCTAGCAGCACGCGAATGCCTCACTCTAGGCCTCAACCTCAGCCCCTTCATTTTGGATTTTTCAATTATACCTGATGTAACATCTTTAATGGTGATGCTAACATCTTTAAGGACAACAGTTGAAATCTAAAGCAGGCGAGAAGAACATTCTTATTTGTCGGCAGTTGAAATAATCATTGCTTTGGCTTTTGTGCTTTGTAATCAAGATCACACTAAGAGAACGCCATTAAGGGGTAAAGCCACACTGGGATTTTGGAAAACGATTTTTTTTCTTTGCTCACAGCTTACCTTTGGGTCCTAGAAATGATATTCGATTGGTTTTGAAGGGAAAAAATATTGTTATTTGCTGCCGTCCCTCAAAGCGTGCGCTGAGTACAATGAAAACCTTAAACGCGTTTTTCTCGAAAACACATTTTTGAAATTGGGGTAACAGTTTATTCGGACCTTACTGCATCGATTTATCAGAAATTTTAATAGTACCTTCACAAATTCATTTCTTTCTTGGAAGTACGTAGCCGTTTTTCGATGAAATATAAACTTTTTTTAATAATTTATTTGCGCATTTTTTTCTCAAAAATCATAATTAAAAAAAAAACTGTGACGCTTTCACAAAATATTAATTTAAAATAAATCCATACGTTTGTGCTTCTAAAGACCATAGTTTGTAGACCATAAAACTTTTGGCCTTTCTATTCAAGGTCTCATCCTTTAGGAGAAATCGGCCCTTCCGTGGATGCCTTTTAAAAAAAACATGGCATAGATAATGGGCTTTTGTAACAAAGTAATATTTAAAGAACAGTTTTTTATACCTCAATAAATGTTTAATGAAACGGTTAAATGGAAATTCTATTCCTTTTTCAATATTCAAACAATAAATTTTAAAAACTGAGTCTACCTTTCAACCTCTAGAGAGATTTTTCTCCTTAAATATCAAGATCACAATAAAAGATCATTAATGAAACGATGGAGCAAAGATAACGACAATAATAGTCTCATAAAATAACCAAAGACACGCAAAGCAAGAGCCAAAAATTCATAGAATTAAGACAAGTTAGAAGAATTCAGAGCTTTTGCAGTGAGTTGTGGTGAACACGCAGTGAAGCAGCTTAACAAGCCGCTTACTCCATCCAACACTATCGACTGATGCATAAGGAGAAAAGTAAGAGGTTCCTAGAACCCTACACCCCATCACCTTCCAGTTGAACCTTAGATTCAATATCTTGATATTCCACTATTTTTCAAATTTGTTTTATTATTTTTCCAAAAAGAAGTTTAGTTTACACTGCACGCTGGATACACAATTACACACATATCTGAAGGCGAATTTCAAAAATTTAGACTCAATGTGGGAATGGCATATATATCCACCTATCAGACTGAATTATTTTGTACTCCAATTTGATGCAGTCACACAAGTTGTCCGCAACACTGACGAGTATGGACACTGAACTTTGTGTTTTCCGATTCACCCTAATGCATACACATAAGTTTGTTTGTGAATTTTAGCTTAGATTAGCCATAAAATCATATTGAATCGACTTACTTAAGCAAATCGTATGTGATTTTCCATTTTCATACAATAATAACGATAAAAGTATATGAATTATTGAAATTTATATGCACATATGTATGTATGTATATTTTCATGTATACAAATATAAGTACTCAACGACATGCTGTCCATATAATAAACAATACATATTTACATTTGAAACTCATTTAGTTATTTTGTGTAGACTTAATTCTATCAATACTATAAATACTGGAGTTAGAAGAACAGTTGTTGTTATTATTCACGTTACGAATGCGGAAGGCAGATATAAATTTAATTCTCTTGAAATTTCTAGAATTTTTTTTTTCACAAAACATCTCTAATGGAATTTGTATTAATTTCATTTATAATAAAATCCAAATTTAGACATATATATGTATGTAAATATATATAAATAATCATAGTATATTTAAATGAGGCCAGCACCAATACAATATTAACTAAGCGAATTTCCATACATAATAAGCTGCTTTACAGAACATTCTATTTGTTACCCAAAACTCAAAATCAATGGGCTTCTTAATAAATGAATAACTCTTATGTCATGCCAGAACTCACGCTGTAAATGAATATTGTGATTTAAAATTAAATAGCGATCAACATTTGTGGCTACTGTTCGAAAATTCGCTTCCTCATCTGTGTTTTTAATAAATATACAGAATTTATCAGAATGTTGGAATCAGTTATTTGAAAATATAAATTTAGCTCTAGTAAAAAGTAATCCATTATTTTTGCGTTAAATTGAAAGCTTTATTTACGGTAGTTAGAATTAACTGATTTATGTCAAATATGCACCGTTCGCGCGATGACTTTTTGCCATGTATATATATATATATATATATATATGGAGTTGCTGCTTTGTAAGCGCTTAACCATTAAGCGGCCGAGCTCCTCCTGCAATTTGTTGATTTTGCGTCTTGATTTTTTCCAACAAATAGAGGGACCTACAGTTTATGCTAAGCCGCCTCCGAATGGCTGATGATTATTTTATGAAGAGCGTTTACATGTCCGAAATATACTCGGAGGGGTTGACATTCCCGAACGAGGGACGACCGCAATTAGAAAATTTAGCTTTATTTTTTATTTAAATTAATTATCTATAACTTTCGGCTGTTGGTGGTACGGGGATTTGAACCGGAGCCTTTCGAATGTCAGTACGCAATGCAAAACACTCAGCCACTGCGGCCGCCATATTGCGTGTAATGTTATTATGGCAAAACATTGCTACAATCGATTTTCACAGGCTTCTCTTCAGGCTTCTTTTCTGGCCAATTCTTCACCAGCAGCCAAATCATTCGCCATAGACAGGTTTAGTTGATAATCACTAGGTGCATGGTGCGGACAACAAGCTAAATACATAAGAAGCTCCCAACCAAGCTCTCGATGCTTCTGTTGTGTCACTAACAATGCGTGCGATCTGGCGTTGTCGTGCTGACACAAAACTCATACCCTATTGGCAAAAGCTGGGCACTTATGGACTTTTTGCTTTGATGAAGTGGTCCAAGTGCTGACAGTATAACTCTAAATTAAAAGTTTGACCGTATGGAAGCAGCTCATAGTAGATGATTCCTTGCTCATCTCAACAAAACTAACAGAAAACTTTTCTGACCGTCAATACTGCTTTGGAGACCGCTTAAGCCAGTTGACTTCTTTCGAAACCCATCGTTTTTGTTTGACATTGCTAAAAATGACACATCATCCACTTCATAAATGATACTCACGTGGCAACCATACTTCGCGCTTCTTTGTGTGTCCGGCATTTCTCTAGTGGTTCTAAATTGCATTTTGGGCAGCATTTAATTCCTGGACAATCGAAATAGTTTTCGTATGACGATCAGAATCGACGTTTTCCAAAATTGGACCTCCTCACTCCCCGTGGAGCATGTATTGTATATG